TTTCCCTACTTTAAAAATTGTAAGATTTGAAACATCCCAGGAAGGAATATGTATCAGAGGGGAGTGCTAAAGAAGACTGTGGTAGGGTCAAAGTCACAGCTGGAGTGAGTTTAAGTAACCTTGTCCTTTACTCTCTCTCCTCTAGCACAGAAATGAAATGATGGATGCCCCTACTTAGATTATCATTAAAATACTTTTCTTGCTATTCACGAGGTAACCTTCACTTGTATCAACCATCAATTCTCTACTGTCCACAGTGAAAGAAAACAAGTAGTGTAGGTTATTTCAAATATTTTTTATTTGGAAAAATTTAATTTAAAAACTGATTTGCTTTCCTGATTATGTTTAGCATCAGTTGATGTCCAGAGGAGATAGCAAATATTTATCCTCTAGCAGGGGAAAGTTGGACTGGGGTTTTAAAAAAAAAAAGCCATGGATAATTTTAGAAAGTGAAGAAATCACCTACAGAAAATAGGGTATATAGTTTTTTCAATGAGCATATTTATGAGTGTTTGTACGTGCAAATAGATACAGTATTTTTATTAAAGAAAATGCAATATACAAATATGAGTGTTCTCTAACCAACGTCCTCAAGCTTCTGTTTCAATGTATATCAAGCATTCTTTTCTCACAACATAACTTCATCCAAACCACCGTCCTTCAAGCATCAAAATTATATCAGAAAATAATGGAATCTGAATTTACATTACCAGTTTCACCTTCGTTTTAGAGACACATGCCAGGAAGCTTATCTACCTTTAAAATATAATTATTTTCCACAGTTCTCATCATAACTTTTTAAAATATTTCAAAATCATACAGCATTGTGTTCAAATCAATCTGCCAGTCTAAGACGAAGTAAGGAGTAAAGACTAAAAGAAGCTATTACAAACACATTCAAAAGGTTTTTCATTCTCAAAAAAAAAAAAAAGAAAAATCACTGTTAATTTCAAGGGTACATTGATTTTATAAATTGCTTTATTTTTTAAAAATCTGTCTTTAAGGTGGCCTGTAAAAATTGGTACCTCATGCTCCAGAGGTGATGCTGAACAACAGTGTACTTAATCAGAATATATTTAAGCGCATGATATTGAATATTTTGTTTAATAATACGTTTGATTTAGAAAATTTGCAAGTCTCTTTAGAAATTGAGATATATAAATATTGATATATATGTTAGTAACAGTCCTACAATCTAATTTATCCCATATACATACACATACACACACTACCTCTTAAAACACATTAATAATAGATGTAAAAGGAAAGTCAAATTAAAACATTAATGTGAATAATTCAGCAAAATAATTTTTGCTACTTCTGTATCGATTCACCTGAATGAATTCAATTTTCGATGTCAGTTTCCGATCATAACACCTAACTGCGTCTTTGAAAGCAAACCTAAGAATGAGAATTTTAACACCCCTGGAGAACAGTTCATTTTCTTTGAGCGCCCTCTAAATCTTTCCTGAAATTCAAAGGCTACTCCTCCAGAAGTGATTTACACCTTGCTGACAGGACAAGTAGAATTCCTACTAATTAGAATGTTTTCTTCATATGAAATCAGCTACGGTGAATCAAGAAAACCTTGGCGCCAATTTAGTCTCATTTTCACTTTTGTAGGTTAATGAATTATTAAATTTCTTCAGTAATTTCTTCTGCAATCACAATAAAATTTTTATTTTAATTCTCTATTCTGAAAGTAAATCAGGAAAAATCGACCATTATTCAATTTTCACTTAAGGAAAAGGAGACCAAAGACTAAGTTTCTGATATGCCTACTTGAAGTTATATCTTACAGTCTTACTATATCTTACAGTCTCTGGTTCCTGTACCTCTGAAATGCTTACTGTTCATTATCATCAATCAAAGATTGGGGACGGGGAGACAACCAGACTTAATAGGCCTAAGGATGACACTACATAATTAGCTAGTTTCATCAGTTGGCATTTTACTTACAGATTTTCTCAATCAATCATGTTATGATGGATAAAAACTCAGTTCAGCTACATTTTACTTCTAAAGTTTTTCTCCATAAAAGGATGTGGCATCTTCCGTTTTGAATAGTCTTTCTAATTTCCATTCCATTATTGAAAATAAGAGTACTAAGAATTTTGGTAACCACATAACTAGTGGAAGAAAGAAGATAAAGAGACCCATAAATATTCAAACAATTCCTCTTTCTACTTCAAAGAAGAAAGATTTTTTTTCTGTTTCTTCCTTCATAACAGTACACATTTTAGATCACCCAATAAACAAGTGAGAAGCCAGAATATACAAAAGATAATCCTTTTATTTTCCAGCTATCTCACTGTGAGTCAACTTAATGTTTCAATTCTATGTTACCATTGTCTCTAATAAGTAGTAATTTTCTCACAAACCCAATGTCAAATTTTAAGGATCCTGTATTCTAGTTAAGTGAATATAAGGAAATATATTCCATAGGACCACTAAGTTATGGAAAGTGTACTAGGAAAAAAAAAGAAAAATTCAACTCATTTATAAAATAAATCAATCTTCAATTTGAAGACATGCAAAACAGAGTCACAACCTCTTTAAGGAGCAGATATTTGGAGAGAGAGAAAAATAAGCACACATATTTTATACATATTTATATACAGATATGCTACCAAAACATAAAGGATAAGCCAGGTTCTGGGATGCATCCCACAGTCTAACCCATGTAACCCTATGGCTAGCGGCAGTGATAATTTGACTGAGGAACATCAGGTGTTAGGGCCCAATGGTGACGGAAACAGAAAGCCCTTTGCAGAAACTCACAGAATGTACATGGATTAGAATCAAAAGGAACCTCAAAGAGTATTGGGTCCATCCCTCTGTTCTTGGCTAAACTAAACCCAGCTCTTTTCAGCAACTGATAAGGTTGAATTTGAAGTCATTAGCATTAGAAAAAAGTCTGATGACTTGGACTGAGAGCATCCTTTCTTTCTAATCTTTGACCCATCACATTAGGGACTTCTAAGAGAAGTCCATTCCTGTTGAAAATGGCAGGGTGTTTCCCAAGGAAGAGAAAAACGGAATGAGAGTGGTCTTGTAAGTGTGGATGGAGGTATGTACACATGTGTGACAATATGCACAGGACGTGTATGCATGTAGTGTGTATGCAGATGTATAGTTTATTTCTCTTGAGACTTAAAAACAAAAAATTACTGTGGTTGCAGGCTTTGTATTCCTTTGAGAGGATAGCTGAAATGTTTGACATTTCAAAGCCCAGGAAGCATTCTGGAACTGCAAAACGAGCAAAACTCTCCCCGTGAGAGGGCACTAGGGGGCCAAGCGGAGCAGAATCTTCCCTCGCTGTCCATCCAGGACGGCCTTGGTTGTCAACCTTCGCTCTGCCGCCTGCGCTGGGGGCAGGGGCAGCGGAGGACGCCGAGAGCGCGCACAGCAGCTGCAGCAGGATCCTCTCATAAAACAAGGAAACCCAGGATCTGTGGGGCAATGAGCCGCCTTTACGGGTTGACAGTTGTGCTGCGGCTGTGCCCGTGCTGCTTGGCAAACTGGCTTTCGGTTTTGGCTTCGCAAAAAAGGAACGGAAGGGGGAGCTGTAGTGGTTCCCAGTGCCCGCAGGGCCCCCTCTCCTGGCCGCTGTGTGCTGGCCACAACGGGTGCAGAGTGTGCGCACTCGGGTCTCTGTGTCTGTCTGTGTAACTGTTTGCATGACTGTCAATCTATCTGTCTGTGTGACGGAGAAACAAAGATGCTCGCGGAGAGTTCCCTCTGGAAAATAAACCTCGGGAGTTTCCGTTGCTATTTCCCAGGCACCCTGGTCCTCCGTAACTATGATACTGCCATTGTCGCTTCGTTATTTTGTTTCCTCCGGGATGATTTATATCCAGGAGTGAGAAATGCACGTTTATTGAAGTTTTCTGTATGTGACCTTACTTCATGGAAATGAGAAAGTGGCTGGGAAGGAAGGAGAACCCGAAAAACGGTAAATTCCCTCTTCGGATTGTGAAATGAAACAGTTAAGAGCCCAGAGACTGGACTCACACTGTCCGGATTCAAATCCCGCTCTGCCACTTACACTATCCGTGTGCCGTGGGGCAAAGCGCTGCTACTCGCTGCCTAAGTTTGTTCATTTGCAGGATAGGGATAGTAACAGCGCCCAGCTCATAGGGCTGTGAAGATTAAACATATGCAAAACGCTTAGAACAGTACCTGACACATAATAGTTGCTGTGTGTTAGCTATTAACATCATCCTCCACATGCACTGTGTTAAATGTGGAGGACCATTCCGGCCCTTTCCCCCCATCTGTACGCACTAGATCTCCATACACGCCCATCATATCCCCAAGCAAAGATGAAAAAGGACCCTCCCCCGCCCGCTCCACACCCTCCAGCACTCGCAGTCACCCAGCCACCCCCGCCAGTGCACACGTGCATCTGCGAACCCCTCCCCCGCCGTCCCGCGCGCCACACCTGGGGGCGCACTCGGGGGCAAAGGCAAACGAAGTGTCCGAGAGTGCCGGTCCCTACCTCTCCTGGCTGAGGAGTGCATTGGGGGTATTTGCCTACCTGCCCCAGGTTTTTGCCCTTCTTACTGCCGCCGAAAGCCAGTCCTTGGTATGTGCCCGCAGATCGATTGGCGGCCTGGGCTGGCGTCTCCCCGCCCAGAGAGGACTTGATGGAGTTGAGTTTGGCCCGCGAGCTGCCGAACTGGGAGCTCTCCACCATCAGCACCGCGGCCAGTAGGAGCAGGCAGCGGGAGGAGTCCTTGCCCCGCATCAACGCGGCCATCGCCTGGCGAGGGGTCCCCAGGGAGGGGCAAAGCCCGCAAGGGTGCGGGTACAGAGGGAGGGAGGACCCCAACACGGGGCCCTACGCGCGGGGCGCTGGGACTCGCAGACTCTGTTTCCCCCAACCCCACTTGGCTTTGGGGGCCCAGCACCGTGTGAACTCAGTCTCACGCCTCAGACCGGCAGGGAGCGCGACCCAAGCAAGACCTGCTTCTCCGCCAGGGCAGGAAGTTCTGCAGTAACTGGAAGCAATCAAAGGCGAGGCGCCTTCTTGCCAAGGAGGCGTGACCCGAGGTGCAAGAAGCCCCAGCGCCACGGCCCGCACCGCTTCCGTTGCTCCTTGCCCCGCACCTCCGCGGTCGCGCCCGGTTCTCCGCGGTCCAGTCCTCCTCGCAGCTGCTCAGGAGGTCCACATTAGTTCCTTCTCCTTCGGCCTCAGTCGCGTTTTCTCTCCTCTTTTCCTTCCCTACCGCTTATGTCTCAACCTTTGCAGGACATAAGTCCTCCTTTTCAAAGTTAGCGGGCACTATATGGGGGATCAGGAACCGCCCACGGACAAGACCCTTGAGGTCTGAGGCCCGCCAAGGTCCCGCACGCGCGCACGCACAGGCGCCCCGAAGCGTTGTTCTCCGGCTCTCAGCCCGGTAGCAGCCAAGCGCTGCCAGGGACGCCGCGATGCCCTGGGAACTGTCTTGCGCTCCACGCGGTCTCCCTCTCTGCGTCTGCTCTCTCTTCGCCGCCCCCTTTGCTTTTTATAGCTTCCCACAATGGGTTTTTTTTTTTTTTTCCTCCGCCCCCAATTCAATAGTGACAAAGAGTGAAAACGTATCTATCACCCCCCACGTTCCCGCCCCCCTCTTCGCTTTTCCCTGCGGCTTCCCCGCCTGCTTCTCCCTCGCCCCCTCCCACTGCCCTTCCACCGGACAGCAGTTGAGGAAATGGGATTCACCCCGAGAGGAACAGGCGGGGGTCTGATTATTCCTGACAACCAGCCACTCCCGAGGATGGAAGAACCTTTGCAAACAAACGGATGGCAAATGTGCATGTGGAGAGGGGCGAGCTGCCACCTCGCTTCGGGACCGCCAGCACCCCTCCCCAACCCACCTCCAGTCCCTGACTCCTGGAGGAGCACTGGGAAAGCCCTACAGAAGACTGAAAGAAGTGAGCATCTGGGCGTTAATGGTCTGTGTATGCTCAAGTTGGGTTTTAGCCTGTGCCTCCCAGTGGATGTGTGAGACTGGTACTGTACTGGTGCGCCAGGGAGTGCCCAACCGACCCAAATGGGGCTTTGGGTAGAAGAGTACCAGAGAAGGGGGAAAGATGCTCCTACTCTCCCTCTGAGAGGCGTTTAGGATTTTCTGGTGTGTCCTCCTCTTCACCCTCCAGTCTCCCTCCCCACCACACAATTCCGAGCTTTGAATCTCACAGCTCTACCGGGCATCTTTACCGTCCCAGGCAACTCCCCGCTTTGCAAAGAGGAAATCCCAGACAGGAATGAACGGGGCGGCAAGGGAGTCTTGGAGGTTCTGCTTTCTGCCCCTTAGCCTCTGGGAATTACATGCGAAGCCTTTCCTGCGAAACCCGAGGCTCCCAGGGTCCGGTTCGCTTCTGTGGGAAAGAGGCTCAGAGAAGGGCTGGAGCGCGCGGGTGTGCGGCGCTTGGGGGCGCCAGTGGCAACGGCTGGGCAAGGCGAGGAAGCGTTGCTGGAGACAAGAGATGAGGGCTGTCCCAGGCAACCTCTAGGACTGGAGATGTTCGGCGGCAGTAGAGAGCCAAGGCTACCAAAGCAACCCAAGCGCTTAGGAATTTGTGGCATTTCTCCTTCTCTGGTGCACTAACATCTGTGCACAGAGAAATCGAGGCTGTGCAGTACAACTTGATGGCTAACAGCTAGGGGAGGAGGCTGTTCTTTCTAAACACGCTCTAGAATCTTCAGACCTGAGTTCCTCAGCTTTCACACCTGATCCTGGCACACACCAGCACGGACAGTGCGGTATACAGTCAACAGTTGCTAGGGGAGAACGTTAGTGACTCCTTTCTTTTCTACCAAAAGGGCTGAGGTAGGTCTAAAGTGTGAATTTGTAGCTGGGTTCCCGCAGGCTGCACCAGCTTTGCATATTTCTCTGCCCTGTTCTGTCTGTCTGCCAGGAATTCTGCATTTTCTGAATGACTTTTTTCTTTTTGAATGCACAAGCAAGAGGTGATTAAAACTTGAGGAACCCTCAGGCATGTTTTCTTATCGTTGGATTCCCTTGTGCTTCCACAGGGTAGAGATTTTCACGTTAAAAATAATTTTTTTTTCACTTTTTAAAAATATGCCCAGGAATGGATTTGTGAGGATTTGTAAGCACTCCAGGCACTAGTGGAGGGCAAGGAAACTGACTGACTTACACTCTACAGATAAGTACTTGGGATTCAATGCTTAGACTTTACACAAAGGTGTATCTTTTGCCTTCATTGTGATTTGCCAAACAGAAAACATGAGAGAAATGGAGAAAATTAAGTTAGGAGCCTACTGGTTTGGATATTTTTCAAGAGTATTTTAGAGCAAAAGGAAAAGAGAGCTAAATATGTAAGCAAGAAATCACTCTACCTCCACTTGAAGAGTGTGGGAATCCACCAGCTGCTGAAGAACCAACTCCAATGAATCAACAGAAAATCTGAAGATACTTTGCCTGTTTCTGTTGGTTCCCTCTTTCGTTACCACCAACCAAAATGAGATACCATATCGTCAGAACCCAACTCCTGTCATATGCTAAAAAGAAATAGTGTACAATTCAGCATATGTACTCTCAAGAAACCCTTCAGCTCTAGATATCAGGATAAAGAGATTATCTCAGAGGTTTACAAAGGACCCTACAAGTTCCAAAAGCAAACTTTACAGATACAGTTAAAAGTCAAAGTTCACGTGAAAGTTACTTTCACAAACATTGTCCCTTTTGAATAAAACAAAATCATGCTATGGAATCAAATGCTAAAACATACACAACTACACCTTAGGCTAAAAAGGAGATAAAAACTAATTTCATTCATGGTCCAAATGCTCTCTGTAACATTGTATAGAAGACAGAAACAGACACACATAACCCATATGCGGACAAGTAGGTATGCATGCACAAAATCAACTAACTGCAAATAAACATAATCCTTTGGATTTCTATCTTAATCCCACATGTGTTTTCTCATGTGTGTTTTCATAAGTATGAAGATACAAGCTTCATATTCTACTTGGAAAAATAGATTTTTTAATGTCTTTTGCGTAACATCATTAGGGAGTAAATAAATAAAAGCAACACTGTACAGAAGTAAAGATAGGGTCCTCTTGTCCAGAAGAAAGTGCCTCTGTGGACACTTTCTCCTTTGGCCATCATTTCCCACTTCTCTTTGCTCCTCAGCTGTGGGGTGATTTCGGTTCCATAGAAAAACCACAACTGACTCAGCAGTTTCTCCTGGGTCCTGGTTTCCTTCTGAATAGTTAGGGCCAAGGTAAGCTAAGTGTACACCTCATTGCCTTATTCTTGTTTTTCATCCTATTTTCCCTCTCCCTGCATTCGTAACCACTTCCCACAATAGTCTATTTATCAGTTGGTCATTTATTCACTGTATATTTATTAAATTTAGGGGCTTAAGGATACAAAAGTGAGTGAGGCAGGGCCTTGGCCATGGAGAGTCCTACGGCGCACTGTGAAGGCCCTGACTTACTGAAATCTGCCTCTGCCCGTCCCAGGAGCTGCTGCCATCAGCCTTCCTCTGTTCTCCACCACTGAATTCTGCCCATCTCAGTCTCTCACAGGGTATCTGGGGCTTCCAAGCTGGATTGAATTCATATGACTATGGGATTAAAAATATTAGGAATGTGCCCCAGAGTCCTTCCTTTTCTCTTAAGTTACATGTACGTTTTAGCAGCGCACACACAGGGAGGCAGTATTCCCACATTTGTGGTTAAATGTAGAGAAACGACACTAGATGTGGTCATTTGGGTCATTTTAGGTAAGTAAGAAGTATAGTACTCTGGCAAACTTGGGAAGGGACGTTAATTTTTACTAGGTCCCATAGGCCCACGAATCTTCTTGTTCGCACAGGTTGGGCATGAAACATCTCCATCAGTTTTCAGTTTTAAAGGATTTGGAACATATGGTTTTGTGTGTTTCCCCTCTCCATGGTAAACCAGCCTACTCGGTCTTCTATTCTAGTAGGACTCACACTTTGGATCTTATCACATGAGAATTTTATGTTTCTCACTGTCTAAGGAAAAACAGTACTATGTGTTAGCGTCAATTACATTTTAAATAATTTGTGATAAATGAATATTAGCACTGGTATTGTGAACATTTTTAGTGTCTCCTGATAGGACTAATTTACATACCAGATATGAAAAATTGCATCTCCTATTCTATCCCTGCCATAGTTTCACCTGTTAACTCTCTTCCGACTTGATCTCCTGGACAACAGGTCCAGTGAATGAGAAAAGACCTCGTCACTCACATTTGAGGCACTAGCTGTGTTTGACCCAAATGTGCACAAGTGAAATGGTTCAAGGTTATTTCAGAGTAAATCAATCAGAAACATAATTTCTTAGCCAATGGCTTCTTTTTTGATCCTTGACACATCAGTCATCTTCTCAATACTTTACCTGCCACCCAAATGATAGAAACTTACTAAACAAATCCCTCCCTTAGAGACTGAACCCAGCTAATAAAAAGCATGCAAATGATATAGTCAGAAACTCAGGTAGACAAACTTCTGTTGATTCTTGTGCATATGGGTGACCTTAGGTAAAACTGAAATTAGAAATTATCTCCAAACGTTTAACACCAAACCTTTCCCTTTATGATGCACAGTTTCTGCTTCTTCTATACACTGCATATCCTTCTTGGTGGTCCATATACCCCTACTGCTGAGCTCTGGCAGGCTGTTCCAAGATTCATTTTTGGAAGGAGTACTATACTTGGTGGTTTGGAAAATATGTTTAATTCTTGAGAGAGGCTCATTGCAAGAAATCTCATCTTGAACAACAAAACACACAACTTTTAGATAATCTAGACCAGTAGTTTACAAATTCTTTTCCTTAGATCTCCAGGGTTCTGTAGGAGTCTGACAAGGAAGTTAGAACTGCTGTTGTTTTTGACGGGACCTCATGGGAGAGGGCTCCTGCAACATGAATTTTTAAGTGTCCATCTTGTTACTGTTTTTATTTGGGGGAGGGTCGTGTTGGTTGGTTTTCTGGCTTTAATCAACCACACAGATTTGGATGCAACAATGAGTTGGGCAAAATACTCTATGAGTACTCAACCTGCCAACAAGATGGATTGATTTCTATCCTGTTATTATTGCAGATTATTGCCAAAACAAACATTACTCAAATGGGAAAACTATTGAAAATCTGGCAATTTTTCTAGTCAGATATGGTCATTTGAAGTAAGGCATATTAAAAAATGGAAGGGCAGGGTAGTTAATCCAGTCATGGTAAAATGTGTCTGTTCCTGGTCAGTTATCTGAAACTATGAGTAGTAAACATAGAAAAACTTCAACTATAAAACAAATTACGGCAGATTGAAAAATAATGCGAAAACTATTGTCACAAACTAAGGAAATATGTTCCTAAGTGGCAATTTTAAATCTGTGTTTGAAGCATAACCATGCTTGGTAACAGGGAATGTAAATTGTGTTTAGTTTATCTTCAAATGATCATTCTGCAATAGATCGTACCTTT